CCAGGTACCAGATACCAATCGCGGCCCGGTCCGAGTGGAACGTCCCCGGGCATCGCTGTCCGGGGACCTCGGTCCGGGAGTGTGAATGGTTATGTGGGTTTGGCCTATGACGGTAGGCCCGCCAAACACTAACGACACTCCCCTTGAGATGCATCCACACTACGCATCCCCTTTTGTCCGAGTTTAATTCCCACCCAACGGTCAGCCTACGGCCATTACCTCGTCAGGCGAGAGGGCCCCCCGCAGCAGTGTCCAGCCGGACCCCACCCTCATAGGAGCACCCCGTTGCCTCCGGAGTACCTAACCCCCGCCAGGAGGGATTTAAACCTCCCAGCAGCTCTGAGGATGGGAATCCGTACCCCGAGGGGTCCGTCAGCACTGGAGCCTCTGAAGCGGAAAGGTTACCTCCCGTGGATGTGTGGGGGATTCCAGGTGGCACCCGGCCAGGACTCCAAGGAGTCCTGTGTTACGCCGGCGCTCCGAGTCCTACCCACTACACCCATGGGACTCAGACTTCGCAGCGCCCCTCCCTACGAGTAGCGAGGGACGCGGCCGGCCAACCCCATCCGAAGCACTAGTCAAATTTGACTTGCTCCTCCGGTCCGGCCCGCTTTCAGCCCCTGCCAACCACCAGGGCCGGATGCGCGGACTCAAGGTCCGCATTCCGGGATCCTGGGGGGCGCGGGAATCACGAAACCAGACACGTCAACGATCCCGCTTGATCTGTCGCCGCGTTGCCGCCGCGACAGGATGTGGGCTAACGACCGAGGACGCAGGCACAGTGGAGCGGCAACATCAGGGGATGCCTATCCCGCCAAAAGGCGGGAGGAGGAAACCCGAGAAAGTCACCGAGGTGGCAGTCTACGGGGTCGAAGGGTAGCCGACTATCTCTAGCAATTTGCCGGCTAACTCGGGTACGGGGGAGCGTCAAACCCCAGATCCACAGACAGATCCCCTGCGTTATGAATAAGAGGTTGATATTGCATTGACTGACATCACTACAGGCCTAACTGTAACCACGTGCGATATTGTTTGTTGGAATGAGAGCGTTCCATCGGTTCTCGGGGAAAGGGTGTCCGGCGCGGCGGTGTTAAGGGAATCCGGAACGGAATGCATTTCACTCCGGTGAGTATTACGGAAACGGAGCCTCTTACGGCTCCCAAGTAGCAGTGATTGCGATTTGCGATTTGATCAGAAAAAATATCACGATTTTATATCGACGTCTATTGTTGCAGTATTATCGGATAAAAAATTGCGATAAATTGCGAATTTATTGATGGCAATTTATCGCAATCTTATCAAATAAAAATTTTGATAAATTGAGATAAAACGTTGATTTCATCAAATCCGCTTTTAATGAGATAAAATTACGACAAGATGGAGAGTAATCACTCAGATGTTGATGATCCTAGCGATTTTATCGTGAAAAATCGTAAAAAAATCACGACTTGATTTCAAAGTATCGCGATTTTTCCGTTGAAAATGCGCCTTGGGAATACAGCTTTTACGAAGTACGTCTCGTTGGGTTCTCGAGGGGCATAATAGGCTCCGGTATGAGGTATAGGCTCCGGAATTTTTAACGGCGTGCGGTTTAAGTTTGTTTGTTAGGATAAACCGCGAAGTACCTAATTGAAAATTTACCTCTTCCAAACTATGAGACCGCTTAAATACTCTCAGTTTGGACTTGGTAACCCTAGTTACAACCCTAATTGCCGTAGGCTTTCCGCTAAGCCGGAATCCCAAATGTGTCGAACATTTTAGATGAGTCGACGTCTAACTTTCTCCGGGGCTCTCTGCCGGAATTCGTTTCATAATTGATGGAACTCACCGAGCGGCGAGCGCCCCGGCTCTCTGATCATATAACTGAGTACATTAGCGAACGTGAAAACAGCCGTGCTAAGGAGAAACGCCCTATAAATCTTCGAATTTTGCCAAATTTCTCCCGATAAAACATCCTAATTTGAGCAAAGTTATGAATTTTCCTCCATGCAATTTTCACATACTTGAGGTGATTCGATGGACGCCATATTTTGTCAGAACGACGTGCGATATATCGCATCCATTGGCTCTATTTTTTCAGCTAATAATCATTTTTCTCGAATTTTGAGATCGCAATTCTGTTGTCAGGAGACTAAAGCACTCACTTACCAGTTTTTACAAACAAATTCAACGTAAGAAAGGCGTGGTTTTTTTTTAGAGAGAAAACATTGCATTCGATACTGATATCGAAACTGCGCCCAAATGCGATATTTTCTCTCTAAAAAAACCACGCCTTTATTACGTTGAATTTCTTCGTTAAAATCGGTAAGTGAGTGCTTCAGTCTCCTGACAACAGAATTGCGATCTCAAAAGAGGAAAATGATGAGTAGCTACAAAAATAAAACCAATTGATGCGATATATCGCACGCCGCTCTGACACAAAATATGGCGTCCATCGAATCACCTTAAGATCAAATTGCGAATAAATTTGCCTCAAAAATTGGACGGAGACTAATCACAATTCCTCGAAATCCGTGTTTTATCGAAGATAATTTGGCAACGTCCGGTGGTTCATAAGGTGTTCTTTCTCAGCAAGGTAGAATAGCAGAGTGCAAACTGCAGCGAAATACCGCGTCTCCGGGCTCGACCGATTCGCGCTCTCATGATTATTCGATGAGCTTCATGGTGGAGATCGAGATGAATTGACCTCGGATTTCTTTTCAAAAATTTACCGAGCAACCGGCCGCGGATGAACAAAACTTATTTTCTTACGTACAGGGTTTCTTAGAATAGCCTTGCCTGGTTCTTTTCTTGCTTATCCCTCGTTGGACGAGGTTGCAAAGAGGGAGATGAATCGAACCCCGTAGAAATTTGAACTTGAAAGGTTTGAAGCCCCTCCATCGGACTGATGTTTGAAATGGATAGACAAAGCGCTAGACAAAGAACAGAAGGAGAATGGAGCGATGCTATTGGTCCGAATGGGTCTTTCTGCCAAATGGATGTTTCTTTCTAACCAATCCAGCGGGCTGATTGTTGAATTTGATAGACAAAGCTATAGACAAAACAACAGACGAAGCGATAGAGAAAGATATAGACGAAGCGATTGACAAAGCGATAGACAAAGATATAAACAAAGCTATAGACAAGACAAAGCGATAGACAAAGCAGGCATAAGGAATATGGAGCGATCCTATCGGTTGGAATGGTTGGCTCCTACAGAGTAGGGGAGAAAATAATGAGGTAACTAAATGGTCTCTCGTAGGTTGCCGTTAGTTTTAGTCTTTTGCTTACCCCCTTTCTCCATTGCAGCCACCCGCTTCCACCAATAGGATCCCTCCATATCCTTTTTGTCTTCTTTGTCAATAGCTTTGTCGATCAATTTCAACAATCAGTCAGCTGATACTGTAAGGAGACAAACAGAAAGGAAATTCATGATCCTGAAAGTCGGGGATCCCTATCAAATTTAAACTAATTCCATCAAAATTAAAAATTACGAAAATTGTTATCCCAAATCGATCATTGGTTCTTTAAAATCGCGTAAATCTCAGCCAAAGCTGCGAGCTCTTAAGTTGGAGACGGTGGTTCCCTCCATTAAATACTGTTTGTTCGCAAAATTGAACTGGTTAATGCTAAAACGAACTATTTTGCAGACAAACCCTATGTTTGTGGTTCCTTTTAGCACAAATAGTCCAATAATGTCTCCGAAAAAATGAGATAACGTGGAATTTCGACTCCGATGACAGCCCCNCCCCCGACCCTAAGGTGTCGATTCAAGTTGAAATTTTTCGTAATTTTTCATTTTGATGGAATCAATTTGTTTTTTCTCTGGAAAGCATTTCTTTTTGTTGATCGCTATTTATCTGCCACTCTACAATCAATCTTCATCTGCTCAAAATCTGCTATGCTCAATCTGTTTCTTTTTCTCTATGTTTACTTGGTTCTATGTATCTGCAATTCTTCTTCTGAAGACTGGACAATGCAAATTTTCTTCCGATGTCTCACAATGATTTTATTTTTTACAGGAGTTGTGCCTTGTCGTATTTTTTGGCGTAGAATATTGCATAAGGTTGTGGTCAGCAGGATGTCGCTCAAAATATATGGGCTTGTGGGGCAGACTCAGGTTCGTCCGGAAACCCATATGTATTATAGGTGAGTACAACGAATTTATGAATGGAATTGGTTTATTAATGGTTAATTTATTATTATTAAATTTATTAATGGTTCGACCGGAAACCCATATGTATTATAGGTGACTACGACAAATTTATTAGTGGAATTTTGCGACAGATGACCGACTGAAGTCTCGCATATACTCATAAAAATGTCGTTTTGTAGTTTTCAAAGCTGTACACTTTTTCATATTTTCAAAACACCGGATAGAAATTCCTAACCATAGTTTGTCTTAACAAGCTACAAAAATATTCTAGAATTAATAATTAAAAGAGTTTTTCCTCTGCACGCATGTTGATTTTTATTTTATTCTGATTGATTTATTCATTAATTAAAATGCAAAATGCGGCACTTTAATTAAAAATATTCTACTAACAGAGAAGAAAAATCAAAGCGGTTTTCAAGAAATTATGTTGACTAGTTTCCCAAAGAATTAGAGAAATATGACAAGAAGTCTGCAAAGTTGCAAACGGAGATAAGTGGTTTCGCACTTTGGATGTCAATATCTTTTTCAAAAGAGTCTCAAAATTATTACGAAATCCTGGCACTATCTTTTCATAGGAACGTTCCTGCAACAGTGTTGCACGCATCAACTTTTTCCCCCAAACTATACTAGCAAATTTCTCATGTACATTAACTCAAGCATCTTTTTTCTATAAGGTAGTTGAATATTTCTTACAAGAATGCATTTCTATTTGTTCACAGATCTAATCGTTGTAGCCGCTTCTATAGTGGTTTTAACGGTCGGTTCAAACGGTCAGGTATTCGCCACGTCGGCCATCCGTGGTATCCGATTTTTACAAATTCTTCGTATGCTTCACGTCGATCGTCAAGGCGGCACTTGGAGACTGCTCGGATCAGTTGTTTTCATTCATCGTCAAGTAAGTTGCATTCTGGTAGACGCGTAGTTATTCAAGAGATGAATAAATTCAAAAACTGACGGGTGCACGCGAAAGAAAGCGTATTTATCTCTGATTGCGACGTTATGCACCACTTCTATATTTTTTTTAATCAACGTTTTGAAAAAGCTACAATTAGTTTTTTCTGAACCTAGGGTATCCTCGTGTTCAGTTCACTCAATAGTTTCCACTTGAACATGAAATCCATCCAAACAACTTCACATACTCTATTTCCGCGAATTTTTCTAAATGATCTCAAATAAAAGCATCGAAAATTTAAACTCGATATTTTTGGTCGTTCTATTTTCTTTTAGGTAACCAAACAAAAATTAAATATCATCCGAGTTTCTGAATCGTTACAAAGAAGATACATTTTTTCTCTTACAACACTTAAAGCGCGCACTGTGCTGTGCGCGCAATCCATGAAGTATTCCTACAATCGTGTAAGCCACCTGACCGGCTGCACTGCGTTTGGCGCAATGCGAGAAGTATTCACGCAGTCTTGTAGGCGCCGATCTGCGCTTCGTGCCGACCGCACCGGTTTGCGCAATGCGTGAAGTATTCTGACAGTCTTGCAGGCGCCAATATGCGGCCGCAGTGTATTTGACGTGATCATTCGAACTCGGAGTTCGAATAATCGCGGTGATAAAATAATAATAATCGAATGATGGGGCTTAAAAGGCTGTGTTTCGACGTCGCCGTCTATTTATCAAGGTTATTTGATAGCGACTCAGCAATCCAGGCGCGGACGTTCTATTCCTAATTTCACAAAAGAATCGTGACTGGAGGTTGAAAAGATACGTATGCTGAAGTTTTTTGTCTAAATCTACTAGTTCACGTTTCGGTAATTAAAAATGGAAAATTGCTTGAACCCTTCTTTAAAAAATAATAAGAACAATGCGCTTCCTCCCGTTTAAGTATTGGAGAAATAAACGGGTTTTATCACGAATCATTGAACTTGGAGTTCTCAAACAAAAAGAGAGCACTGACGATGCCGTATCAATATGCGCGAGCGCAAAACTTGGAGCATAACTTTCAGGCGCGAACGAGAGGAACTCGTTAACAGATTGATGATCGATAATCGATAAGCCCCCCATCTCAGCGTTGCTTTTTATCGAGCAAGGTCATTCGATAAAGATTCAACAATCGACTCCCTGCCGTGCAAAAGAAGAACCGCGTAAATGCAATGGAATTTCAACGTGGGTCCGCGGTTCCTCCTGTGTCTGGCAGAATACTGCCGCGCGGAAAAAGATGGATTGCCAATTTAACAATTAAATTGTTGAAAAATATATCCGGCATGTTCCAAATGTACATTTTACAATGAAGGAAAGCAAATTTGACCTCGGGGGTGGTTAAATTAGCATTTTTTCATTGTAAAATCTACATTGCGACATGTCGGACACTTTTTTAAACTACTTAATTGTTAAATCAGCAATTTCATTTTTTTTTCCGTGCGTGACAAGGGTATATAGAGAAAAAAACCGTATACATATTCGATTTATGTATTATCCTTCCGGCATACTATTGTTTCGATGAGAGAGGACATTAATACTTTCCCATATACAAAAACGATTAAATAAACTACGAATAAAGTTATTTGAAAAATTCAAGAAAAATGACTCCCTGTTTCGCAGAAAATTCGTATTAGGTATGTCAAAAAGGTTCGGTGCCGCCCGAAGGTTCATGAGACGTTTTCCTGAGCATAGTACAATGCGTTTCCAGATAATTGGACGTATTTCTGCCGAACAGAGCTATGTGCATTATGACGTGAGCCTTATTACCCATATATTCTTATCGGTCTCAGGGCTCATGTCTTAATGCTCATAGTTCCGTTTGGCAGAAATACGTCCAATTAATCCGAATGCCCCTGGAACCGCCCGGAGGTGGAGAGGCACCGACTGAACTAAGCTGTCTCTCCGTCAAAACTGATGTGCAAAAGGAAAACGCCATATGAACATTCGGATATTGCCAGATTTCTAAGGACAAGAGCCGGATTTTCCTTGAGAATTTATTTGTGTTTTACTTTAAATTTATCACAAAATTCCTTCAATATTTTAACCTAAATTTTCTGAGAGTAAGGAAGGAATATATTCATGACTTTCCTCAAAAATAAATATTTTGTCCATGGAAATTTGATGACGCTCGAATGCTCACACGGCATTTTTCCGCTGCACGGTAGAAAACAGCTAATTCACCCGGGCCAATTCCAAACCTCCCTCTTTCGCAATGTCTCTTTCGCATGCAATTGTGTCATTAGATTTTGAGCGTTTTGCACGCAACTGATCTTGCCGCATCCTCGCAGCTGTACTGCCGCGCTAAGGCAGAACGCCGTATGAGCCTTCAGGCGTTGCCAAATTTTCTTTGATGAAACACGAATTTCTTGGTAAACTTTTGAATATTTTTCCTCCTATTTTTCAGATAATTTCCCTCGCAACTCCACCAAAAAGCCCTGAAAATTTCAAGGGAAAATATTCTTAGCTTTCCTCAGAAATGAACATTTTATCGAAGGAAATTTGGCAACTCTCGAATGTTCATACGGCGTTCTCCCATAGCATGGCAGTGTAGTTCCGCGGGGTGAAAGGAGGGGAGTACCCTCCCCCTCCCCCAATCCCGATGAGTTGGTTCGCGATCCACCCTCTCGCGCAACTTGTTGCAGATATATCAGCACTCGTCGTCAGGCCCCCCTTAACCCCCCCCCCATCAACCCCCTGTAGGTAATAATGTAGATCTGCTTGAGATAGCATTCCACCGCCCTGCTTACGGGGCAATGTTGCTGGATAGGTTACTCAAAAGCTTGCTTCGTTTTCGAATGCATTTCCGTTACCTGTTTTGCCAGGAATGAGAAGCTGAAGTAAAAGGACAAACGTATAATAGTCCACAGGAGAAGGCAAGCTTACTCGAGGAAACCTTAAAATCCTCCTTATCTTTGGCAAATAGTTCGGCGAACCTTTATTTTATATCTTTCCCTTCTTCTTACGTATATTTATAATGTAAATAAGTCTGATGCACGCAAGAGATACAGTCAACTGAATACATTTACTGAGGGTAAATTCGCTCACTAAAAAAAAATTACGGGCTATGTAGACATATCGGCCGTTCCGGGCTCAGAGGCCGAAAGTTTCGAGTGCTGGAACCGTAGTTTCGATTGCTCCAGATACTACGCTCGGAACTTTCGGCCTCTGAGC